CCCCCGAGCCCCCGCCCCCCCGGGGGGGGGGGTTCAGCCTCTCCACCCTGAACACGGGTGCCGAGGGAGGGGTCAAGCAAGGGGGCCTCCTCTCCTAATCTCCACCCTCTGGAGAGGGACAAGTAACATGTTCTGAGCCTTATGTAAGGTTATATAAATATATCTCCCAGACAATAATAATAAAAATACAGCTACCACCATGTGGCAGGTGCAGTCCCAAGCACGTTGCACGTGTTAACTAAAAATACTTACCCACCAAGATGGGAGCCATTATTAGGTCATTCTGTCTTCCAGATAAGGAGTCAGAGAGGTGGAATCGAAGAGGCTGAGTGACTTACCCAAGGTCACACAGCCCAAAGTCACATACTGAGAGGTGGGACCAGGATTTGAACCCAGACTGGGTCTAGGTCTAGAGGCCCTTCACTTGCCACTGTTTTGTGCTGCTTCTCTTAAGGCAAGAGCTACACCCCTCCCCACCCTCCCCATTTCTTCCAGCTAGATCTCTTCCCCCAAGCCCCTTAGTTCGCAAACATCCCAGTAGCCTCTAGTCCCGGGCACTTGCTGCCTGTGTCAGAGGTGTGGGATTCCCCCGGTTTCTTGACTCCCCACCTCCCAGAAACCCAGTCCCTGGGCCCTCAGGCCTCTGGTAACTTATCCCTCACTTAGCAATGAGGAGAGACTCAGCAGCCTCTGCCAGCTCCACCCAAGGGCTCAGCTCGCCCCAGGTCCACAGGAAGAGAACCCAGGCAGGGCTTTAAGACCTATTTAGCTGGATTTTCCCACTGGCAGGCTGCAACCGAGCAGCTTCTCAGAAGAGGGGCCGGGGAGCAGCCAGAAGTGGGCTTAGCGAGGTAGAGAGGCCAGGCTGCAGCTCCTCCTTCTGGGGGTCAGACACCAGCTCCCCGCCCCCATCCTAGTCCTATCACCTCTCTCTTACCCTGATGCTGCCAGCAAAGGGGCGGCACCCAGGCCGAAGGGGCCCTCCGGATCCACTGGACCACCCCTCCTTCAGTAAATGAGAAGGGGCCCCCAGAAGCCATTGCTTAGGTCATCACGGCCCAGCAGCAGAGCAGAGGGCCCTGGCCTCTGGCTCCTCACAGCACCCTGGCCCTGCAGGAACCCAGGCAGCTTCTCTGACCCTCTTTCAGCCCTGATGTCAGCGGGAACCACAGAAAGGCCTGCAGTGAGGGAGGCTCCGGCAGAGATGGCTCTGGCCTCAGTTTCTCTTCCAGTGAGTTCTAGAAGTGCTGGAGAGCCAAGGAAATGTGTTTCGGGCCACTGATGCCAGGGAAGGGCACAGGGTGGGGTCAGGCGACCTCTGCCCTCAGAGGAGACACCGGAACTTAGAATCCTACAGTCCTCTCCCTGCTGGGTGTCAAGATCCTGGTACTCCAGAGGAGCAGGCAGGAAGAAGGACAAGCAGGACCCTTTGGGCAGCCCTGCCCATCTCAGCTCTCTAAAACCAGGCATGTTTGGCCCACAGGCCACCCCGCAACTCCTTAAAAGATCACAGACTCTGGACTGCAGTCCAGAGTGATGGCTGTACCCACCCACCCCCAACCCCCTGGCCATTCTCCTGCTTCTTCTCCAAGTGCCAGGGGCCAGGCTAGGGGCAGCGGTAGCAGGTCTTAGCAGCGACACACCGCTACGTGAGACCCATCCCATGTGACATCCCCCAGCACACTCCTGTCACCTGTCATCTTCTTTCCAAGGGACCTGCAGTATGTATGGTCCCACCAGGTGACCCTCCAACTATGGGTCCCACCGTGGGGACCGTCCCTGAGACCTGCCCTGTGAGCGTCCACCCCACATGAAACATGGCCCACAGTTCCCACGGCAACCACCAGGATAGTCCTACCACAGAACACCTGTCGTTTAGGTCTGCCACGCAAGCTGTCACCACACACCTCCCACCACATTGTGCCCAGCTGCATGAGAATGGACTGAAGAGAGCTCACTGTTCTCTGCCATCATGCAAGACCTTCTCAGAAGAGCACCCACCGCATAAGGGCTGGCAAGGAGACAGCCCAGGGCGCTTGCCACGCCGCCCACTGGCCCACGTGGGTGGCAGAGGGTTGCCAGCAGACCCCTGTTGGAGGCCGGTGGCAGCAAGGGTGATAAGGAAGCCCTCTCCCCAGCAGACCCTACACTGGCCCAGATGGGTGGGTGGACAGACAGATGGACAGACAGATGCCCAGACTGCTCTCCCCTCACTGACGCTCTCTTCCTTTTCCAGACAACGGCTACCGTGAGTGCCTGGCCAATGGCAGCTGGGCCGCCCGCGTGAATTACTCCGAGTGCCAGGAGATCCTCAACGAGGAGGTGAGGTGGGCGCGAGGCTGTCGGGCTGAGGGGCTCAAGGCCCCCAGAATGACATTGATGCCCACCCCCTCACCAGTCAGGGTCATAGAGCCAGGGGCTGATGTCCAGGCCTGCCATGGGAGACCCAACCCGGGAGCCGGAGCTGCCGGCTGGGAGACGCGAGCAGCCATCCTCCAGGGCGGGCCGAGAAAGGGGACACTG